ACACTTACTTAGCCTTTGCAAGGAAATAACCATTCCGTTGAGGAGAAAGACTGTCCTATCGTTCAGCCAATTGTTCCACGAGTACAGGCCGTTTAGACGGTAACAAAATTTAAACAAACCTTACCAGGTTATGGTGGTTTAGACAAAATGCTGGCGACAGACTGGGTAAGATACTCCAGCTAAGGTTCGACTACCGGACAGGTTTACATCCCAGCTCTTTCACTTAAATCCCAGCTTGTTACTCAAAATCCTTTCCGCTTCAATTCTTTTCCCCCCTATAATACTGGGGGGAATAAGTGCACCTGCCTCACAGAGTACAGGAGAGAATCGAATGAGATGATGCACGCAAAGAGCTTAGCACAGGGCAGGGCACATAATAAACGCCACAGCAATGACAGCTATACCGTAATGGGGGGGAACCCCGTCTTCTCTGAAGGTTTGGTTCTGTCGTTTGGCTCAAGAAGGGGAACCATTCTGCCCAAATTTTACAGGAAAGACCAGAAATACAGAAACACGCCCTCGGGTCCTGAAAGGCCCCTTTTATCATTGGAGACACCCACCTCTGCGATCTCTGGGATCACGTTCTCATTTTCCTGTGGCACCTCGATCACGTCTGTGCATCGATTCAACTCCCTTTGCAGGAGAAAAAGAGCAGTCGAGGGGTCCCCGGTGTGAGTCTCTGCAAAGGGAGCTTCTGGGTTTTGTCGCTTACTCTTTCCACACCCTGCTCTGCATAGATGAGCAAAGCAATAAAAGCCGTGAGGACCCCAGAAAGAAGGGGCCAAGTGACAAGATTAGCAGGGAACGGCTTCCTATAGAAGCCTTCCAAACAGCATGGCACCCGAGCAGCAAAGAAGAGATGGCTGAATGAGAGACGCGTAGACGAAGGCGCCCTGCGGACATCCGAGAGATTTTCGCGTAACGTAGGGGAAGCAACCACATATTCCTGAGCTGCCAAACACAGGAATGCAAACGGCAGCATTCACAGAACGGTCCTTGTGAATACAGCAAAAAGACGAAGGTCATGGACCGGTGACCAGAGGACATGTGAAGGCCGCAGATGTCAGCGGCAAAGGCCTACACAAAACGATAAAAGCCAGACACACATCCAAATCGCACGGATCCAGATGAACGTCGGTGGACGCTTAAGACAGAAATGAAGTTGAACTACAGAAAAATCATGAAAGTTGACTTTTTTTTTTTTTGGAGGGGGGCGGGTCACTGAGTTTGTGACTCCGAAGTTTTGTATTTATCAGATGAAGACCCCCTGATAGAATTTCGCCGAGTCCCATTTTGTAAGACGTTTGCACTCTCGACGCGAAGCTTCTAAAATGAGGTATGTAGCACACTGACTCTCCCCAAAAGAGCTGGTTTCCACACAAAAACAGTCCCCTGGCCAAATCGGTTTTGGAAGACCATATACTGCTCACCCATCTTGGATATCCTGACTATGTGTCGGCTTCACCAAGACTGAGACATCTCCAAGAAATCTACCTACCTTTGTTAAATCCAGTATTTCTCGAGCTATTTGACAAACTTTTTTTTTTTTTACTGAGATATAACGTAGTCCACTCTAAGAAAGGCTAGTGTCGAGAGCCGCAGGTGAGAATGGATGATAATGGCATTCACTACCTGGTGACCTGAGAGAAAAATAATCAGGTGGAAGGCGAGCCTGAGATTGATGCCGAGATGCAGAACGTATCGTGGCTGCGCGTGGAAATGCGACTTGGCCGACGACCCCATAGATCTCAGAAATTGGCTGAATCTTTTCTAATATTCTTTCCAGGTCCTCGCCGAGTCACTCCCCAAAATGATGGCTCTTAATGGTTCTGAAGGTCTCTAAAGCCTTCACGTCTAACCATCTGCCTGCTTAAGTGTGTGATTCACTCCACTCCAGTGCATGGAGCAAGAGAGAATGGCAGAGTTTCCTTTTCCAATCATCAAAAACCAAAACAAAACAAAAAAACAACAGCTCAAAACCAGCACGCAACCACGATGGACTACTCAAAGGCCCAGATTTCATACCAGAAATTTAACGAGTTGATTCTTTTGGACACCTAGAGGAACGCCACCTTCCCCTGTCATTTCTGGACTACTTTTTAGGGACTGTATTCCCAGTGGTAGAGCCACTGGGAGGGAGAGGAAGACCTGCAAGCTTTGGGCCGAAAACACGGGCTTCAGAGTCAGGAAGCTCTGGATTCTATCCCAGCTGCGGCGTGTCCTAGCATTGGGACGGTGGACAAGCCCCTTTCCACGTTTTCATTTCCTCGCCTGAAAACGAGGATACTGACATATCCACCCAGGGTTCCTGGGAGGACCAGAGGACATGAGGTGTGCATCAGGGGAGAGGCAGGTTCAGATAGGACGGAGTCACTGCCACAAGGCTACGAGGTGAGTCCTCACTCAGCTGAGCCGGAAGCACCGTGAGGCCAGCTCCGTCTCCGCATCTCCATCTGCGTTACACAGACGGCAAAGGCCCTAAAAAAATAAAAGGCACTAAAAAAAAGAAAAGGCACTCCCTACCTGATTATTCGGGTGCGCTTCTGCGTGTAAGGGGTGATGACCTTGAAGAGAAGTTCCATGGCTCCATTAATTCCCAGCATGGCCCCCGTGGTGACTGAGAAAGACGAAGGCACAGCAGTTATGGAACAGCAGTTATGAACCAAGCGTTACGTTCAGCATTACAGAGCGAGCCTAAAAGATCGGGGGTGAGGGTGGGGGGCAGGGGTCCACCGCCTTCCTCACCAAAGGCCACTTAAAAGCAGAGGGACTCGATGGTCTTGTTCCATCCCTGGCTCGGAAGTCAGGATCACCTGAAAGGCCCATGTGAACTTCCCACACTACCTTCTTTCCAAAGGGGGCCCCAGCCATGACATCACATGTTTTCTAATGGCCAGTGGCACGTCTCCATCAGAATAGTCACGGCACTTGCTGAAGAGAAGATGTTTCTGTAAGGAGATCCCTAGGTGACAGGCACGAGCACTCACGCACACAGGCATGCACACGCACAGGCAGACAGACGAACATACACACTCTGCCAGTCTCCTATAAAGCCCTTTCTTAGACCTGCTCTGCCATTTGGAGACTGCATGATGAGAAAGTCGCAGGTGGATGGGTTAAGGTTCGGTACAACCTGGACTGACTCCTTTAAAACTCTAAGATGTAGCCTAACGAAGAAGAGAGCGCTCTTTCTGTTCTATTCTAGTTCTAAATGCCCCTAAGACATTTCTGCTTGGACCTCCCATGACTGAGACTGAGACTTGACTATGCCTCTATCCATCACAATGTCAAAGGAAGAATTAGTTCTTCCTGCTCAGAGGTAACTAACCTGAGAAATGTTTGCCATTTTGCCCAATTAGATGGTTATAAAAACACAGCCAGAGATCTGGATAATACTCAAAGGGGTAGCTGGTCATCCTAAGTGACTTCAGATAAGTATTTTGGACATAAGAACCTCTGGATGTCACTCTCATCTCCGGTGATGCCCCAGCCTCTCCCGTGTACCCTACTGGGAGCATTCCAATCATGTTTTAGGGAGCATTCTGGTCATGTCAAAAAAACATAAGAGGAATCCACAGGAT